CACTCAGTTTTACCGCCACTCAGGATTTTTGCCAGCCGCTCAATTTGTCGACTGCTTAGAAATTCGATTGAATTGGAAGAAAAGAGAAGTCAAAACAAGAAGGGACAATAAGAACAAAACTATTACTTAACTTAAGGACGTTGTGCAAACGTTGATGGTAACCATTTGTCGTTTTCCTCAGTTCATCTTTCTCTATAACAATATTTCTACCCTTCTTTGTCCACAATTTTGTAGCACAATATTGTTTTCCGAACTCTACGGCGTCATCGTTTACACAATCTCAGCTCTATCATATTCGCATTGCACTGTTCTGCCTCCGTCATATCGATTTATAATGCGAGGTAGAATGATATAAGACAGATATAATATCCGTGATGTCTTGAAGTCTTGCCACTAGCTTGATTTTACTGATTCAGGCAATAACATTTCCTTCACTACAGAACGGTTTCAACATCTCGGTGCTTAATTTAATGTTTCTCGCCATTCTTGTAGTTTAAATTAAATAAGAGTTTCTTTTCTTATAGCTGTGTGAGATGTCGGTTCAGTCCGAAGTCGGGCGACCGGCTGATCGGTTGAACTCTCTGCCTTCGGGCGAGGAGGAACCCGAACGAGGCTACGCCGAAGGGCGGAGTCTCTTTCGGGGAGGTAAACCGGTCCTGAACCCGTTTATACGGGTTCAAAAGGCATATTTTTGGCCGAGCCCACTGGCTCGGAGATCCCACGTTAAACCGGCCTTGTGCCACATGATGCCCTCGTCGGCGGGTGGGGGGTAACTAAATACAGAGATGTTACTGCTGAAATAAGATGACGCAGTAGAGCTCTATAAAAGCCAATGCTTTTTATTTCTACACATTTTTTTTTTTTTGTCTGTTTCCTGGAGAAAGTTTTCACTCAAATTTAATTCCGCTCAGGATTTTTGGCAGTTGCTCGAGTACTGAGAAAAACGTAGTATGGCAATGGTGATATTAACCGTTTCCCTATAAGGAAACATTTGCCATTCATTGACTAAGCAGCCAGACTGTTTTCAGTTTAAAGTTATAAAATTATTTTCTTAAAACGCTTGTTTAGCAAAAAAGGTTCCTTAAGTCCAGTAGCTGTCCAAACCTTCTATTTGTAGTGGTGTGGAATGTTAACCTTTGTTTATGTCATTATTGCCTCTTCGAGTTATATGTGCGATCCATTTTATTTGTTGCTGCTGTTGGTGGTCCTCAAATGATGTGCATTCTGTTATTTGATACAGTTCTTTGTTTTTGATTCTGTTGCTCCAGTTCACAAATTTTAAAGAAGGATGATCTCTGCCAAGATCCTCAGGCTTTAGTTGCTCAAAGTCTTTTTCACCATTGATCTTAGAAAGTGGTTATATGCAGCTAACAGTTTAGATACTTCTGAACTGGCTTGCCACCGTGCATAAACTCCATATGAAAGTCTCGATCTAACGAGGCTATTTATGAACATGAATCGAGTTTTTAGGCAGACGTTTTGGTTTTGTATAATAAGCAGTGTTGAAATAGAACATACGAAAAGACGAATAGTCAAAATGTTATGGAGTTATTTCGCAGTGGAGGCTTGTATTTGTACTAAGTCGGTCCTAAAATAGGTTCGACGTACAAAACGTTAGGAACTTGATATAATAGGTATTATGCAGAGTAATCTTGTTGTGGTCGCTGACTACTTTCGTATTCGACTAACTATCGACTACTGTCGTCCGACATCGACTAGTATTTAGTCACCCCCCACGAGGGTATCATGTGGCACAAGGCCGGTTTAACGTGGGATCTCCGAGCCCGTGGGATCTCCGAGCCCGTGGGCTCGGCCAAAAATATACCCTTTGAACCCGTATAAACGGGTTCAGGGTCGGTTTACCTCCCTGTCCGAAGGCAGAGAGTTCAACCGTTCAGCCGGTCGTCCGACATCGACTAGTATTTAGTCACCCCCCCACGAGGGTATCATGTGGCACAAGGCCGGTTTAACGTGGGATCTCCGAGCCAGTGGGCTCGGCCAAAAATATGCCCATTGAACCCGTATAAACGGGTTCAGGACCGGTTTACCTCCCGAAAGAGAATCCGCCCTTCGGCGTAGCCTCGTTCGGGTTCCTCCCCGCCCGAAGGAAGAGATTTCAACCGTTCAGCCGGTTGTTCGACATCGACTGACCCTTGTTTCTCTTACTACTCCTACTTGGGAGGTGGGAGGGTCTATTAACTATAGAATAGGTGTGTTGTCCCATAACACAAAAACAAGAAGTGACTACAAGAACAATGACTATTACTTAATTTAAACTACAAACATTGAAGGAATTATTGTTTTTGGTATGAACTATGAATTTTATTCATATACTTTTGTTATAATTCCATGTTTCAAAACAGAACTATCTTAATCTAAAAGGAAAACACCCAACAGGTTATTTGTACTACAAAGATTTAATTACGGTAGAGTAATAGATTACAGCTTGGACTGAGTAATCAGGGAGCCGAGTTCGAATCCTATTCGAACTCATTATATACACTTTCGTGCTAATACACTTGGGAAAGTTATGAATCCATATTTTCTCCTCCCATCTATGGGTAAATAACAGGACAGCCTGTGTTTTATAGCTTTGGTTGGTTTTTTGATGTCAACGAACACTCGTTGCTACTTTTGTAATGTCAACGAATATTTGTCACTTTCGAAATGATCGTTGTAGTTGAGACTTTGTAATCGCAGATACAACTATAGTACGCCATTGAACAATGCTGGTGTCAGATGCCTTCGAATAGCACTCGCACTTAAAAGTACTTCCTCGATAATACTCGCTTAAATAGTAATCCGTATAATGTTCCGAATAAAGAAATAGTATAGTGAATAGAGTAGAAATAGCGATCCGTATAGTAATAGAGGATAGACTAGAATTACAGATCATTTAGACGTCACGCGACTTTCTATATATGCGTTTCTTCTATGGTCACGTGATATACTTAATTCAATAATGGGATCGCCTGTGTTTGATCACTGGCGATCTATGTTCAAACTCAACTGTCGGTAGCGACACTTTATTCCTATATAACAGTTGGCAACCGGTCTAGAAGAAAAACTGAATTCAAACCAGCCTGGAGATTGTTGGTTTCCGTCAGGCTATCTTGCCCAAGACACAACACTTCTTCTGTGATTGTTGTGTCCTAATGAGTTCCGAGACTCGTGAACGAAAGCAGTAAGCATAGAACTAACAAAATCCACGAGCCACACGGCTTGCAAACAACGGCAGTAGAAAAGCATATTTTACTATACGACCAGAATTAAACAAACTTTCATTAGACAACACTCTTCATCCTCGTTTTAAAAGGAGTTTGCAGCAACATAAAAGATGTCCTACAGATCGATTCCGAGACTAGCATAGACTGAAAATGCGAGTAACAAAGAAGTTTTAGGTAAAAATAGAAACAAAAAGGAGACTAATATCTAGAATCAGAAAGAGGTGGTTGAAATTTCTAAGGCAAAAAATGAGGAAGGGAAGCTTAGAGAATGCCACTCACAGAACATATTGAAAAAAAGAGGGACAGGAGAAAGTAACAAGTTACCTACTTAATAATTTTGTGTACTTGATTGGCAGAACGGATTAGAAGTAATAGCAAAAATACAAACTTTAATAAGAGCTAAGATAAAACGCCCTGAAGAGACACAGCACATATTCAGTCTATATTCTCAGTATCCTTCTGTAGAGCCAAATTTTTGTTACTTCAAGCCTCTTCTTCTGTACTGAGGCTGTTTAGAATTCACTAGCATATAAGAGGACTGATGTTACATAACAGTTCAGTAATCTTTTCTTTGTTTCTAACGAAATTTCCTGTTTCTTAATCATTTGCTTAGCTTTTGGAAGGCATCTTTCGCTATCCCAATTAGGATTTCGGTGTCGCTCTTTTTGCCTTCTGTTAAAACACTAACCAAATATTTAAATTTTTGTACTTGTTTGATTTTGGTATCTCCAATTTGTAATTTGTATGTTGGGCTGTTCCTAATGTAGACAATTCGCCATTTCGCAAAAAAAATGTTAAAGTTATTTGACATCTTGAATTACGCTGTATTTCCGGCATAATTCTACCGAAAATCGTTGTGATCTTTCTGTTGAATATGAAGTCTGGTGGTAAACTTCCACCTTTGATATTTGGGTTATGAGATTTCAAACTTCAGAAGTGCTGGACTGACTCTTCCTTCATCTCTTCCACTTCTGATTCTTTTTAAAGGTCTTTTAAAGGTGTCCACAATGCTTTCTGCTTGACCATTTGACCTTGAGTAAAAAGGTGGAATAATTATGCGCTCAATAACTTGATATTTACAAAAAATATTCAAATTCAGCCAAAGTGAATTGTGTTCCGTTATCTGAAACTATTTCTGTAAACAACACCATTTGTAGTCTTCTTATATGTCGCGTTCTTTCAATGGCTCTCCATAACTTCTCATCTTTGGTAACTCCAAATAGTGTTTGTCGCCTTACTATCTCACTCAGTCTCTATTCTGCCATTCATTTACATATACAGTGTAACCCGGATATAAGAGACCCGGATATAAGAGAAACCCGGATATAAGAGAGATTTTCTCTGGTCCCAAATTATAGCCCATACTTACCTAAACAAAGTAGACCAAACCCGGATATCAGAGAAATCCGGATATAAGAGACTTCTTCTTCGGTCCAGACAACTCTCTTTTATCCGGGTTACACTGTACCCGATTAATTTGTTTCCATGGCTCCTCTTGTCATCAATATATCTTGAATATATCAAATTCTCCACTATTTACATTATTCGGATTATTGTCCTCATCTTTGTCGCCATATTTATTACAACGTTTCGGCCATTGTACGCTCCGGCCTTCTTCAGGAGGTTGGAATGTCGAACTGAACCCTTTATTTCGCTCACTGGGGTAAACTGTTCTAGTTCCACGTTCCATGTTTGCAACTTCGAATTTCTTTGTCACATTTACCATCGTCTGTCTTAGGGGAAGTTAATTTCCTTCCCCTGTAAAGGACAATAATGTTATCTATGACGTGGATATACAGTTTTCAGTCTGGGTTCGATATACGAACCAATTACGACCATCCAACCTTCCAGAGACCAAATCAAACTCCATTTATCATTGGACATTCTATTGAACACCTTCGAACTACCTCAACAAACTTCCCAAGAAATGCCAAAGGGCAAACATAGAGCTCTAGAAAAAAAGGACGCGAAAGAAATCACATCGACTATGAAGTAAGCCATACCCACTGCAATTAAATCCCCGACAAAAGTCCTAAGAACAGAAGGCTAAATTGGGTAGGCGTTAGGGGAAGCTAAAGTTCCTTCTATGAAGGACGATAACGCAAAATACAAATGAGTTACTTCCCTTGTCTATGAAGATGATCGCGACACTTCTGAACTGAACATGGCGACAAGCTAACACGCACATGAAATTCATTGTTTCAATTCAGGCAATCTTTGTTGTTCTCAGACATTGAATGAATAAAGTTTGGTTGTTTATGGGTTAAAATACACTTGTCTTAGTTTCATTCGTTTTTGTTCATTCCAATAGCCTGGGATATAATAAATCCTGTGATATGAAGATTGTCTTATGCCACTTTCTTTTTGAACTGTTAGGAAAACTTGATTTATTTGTGATATATATTAGAATAAACTGGGACATTTACGGGGAACAAACATCCTGTATACAGATAGAAAATAGATAGATCAAATATACAAGAAGAGAATGTAGTTTAAGGCAAAGACGTGTCTTCTCACCGGATTTAAAAAAAAAATTATTTCACCCCCAAGCAAGGCAATAAAACCAATAAGATGCCAGACGTTACTGTGTGTTAGTGAATATGAGAACATCTATTAAGGAGAGAGGAGAATAAAATAACAATTAAAAAGATAAAAGATAACGATTGACATTGCATTTTAATTTTTAAAGACCAAAGTTGACTGGAAAGAAAGAATCCGGAAGAGAGTTCCACAAGCGAGAAGTGCGATAAAAGAAGCTGTTAGCATAGAACTTACGGCGACATTTAGCCATTTCAGCTATAAACTGATGAAACCTAACCGTCAATCTAGTACTGCACTTAAATTCATAAAATTTAGGTATCAGAGAGGAGAGTTCGTTCGAGCAATTACCATGAAAGTATTTACAGAAAAAGACACAGGAAAGCTACATTACAGCGAGGGGAATAGGACTGAAGCCGAGATGCCAAGTAAGAACCAGTAATATTGCAGATTCTTCTGTGGATTTTATCAAGAATCTCTAAATATATAGCAGGAGCACCAGACCAGATGTGGCAACAATATTCAAAGCAAGGACGAATGGTAGACTTATAAATATGTAAAATAGATTCTGGCGACAAAAATTGTCTAGCACGACATTGTGAACCAGATTTCTTAGCTGCAGACACATCAATAAAATCTTTCCACTTCATGTCAGTCTGAGATGGTACAACGAGTTACTCCCCTGGAGGTTAGCATCAGCCATGCTGATTGAAGATAAAAAGGGTTCTCAGGTGATTCAAAGTAAATTTAACCTTAATCTAAGCTTTTGTATTGATAAATGTTTGGATCTTGGGATTAGATAATGCAACCTTATGCGTTATACTTTTTCTTCATCTTCTTTTTTATGTGCTGGGTCTCTTCTGAACGTATGCGATCATGGCTCTCCACAATTTCCTCTCCTTTGTAGCTCTTAATAAATGTTGCCCTTTTGTTATTTTTCCTAAACCTTGTTCCGCCATACATTTTCTCAATCACACTATGTTATGCATTGTTTTCTTGTTTCTCTTGCCTTCAATCTGTCCCGTGAGTGGCAGATTTTCCAAGCCTTCCTTCCTCATTAGAATGTTCAACTGTCTCTTCTTGATGTTACGTATAAGTTTCCTTTTTGTTTCCATTTTCTCTTAAACTTTGTCGTTGCTCAAATGTTCCATCCATGGTAATCTCAGCGTATCGTTTATCTCGTCAATATACACTAACATAATGTTTTATCCCTATTTATATACAATCTTTTTATAAAATGAATAACATTAAAATATTAATTTAAACATTTTACCGTTAAAATATATAAGCAATCATAATTTACAAAATCTCCTACAGAAGGTAGCGTCGGAGAGTGAGAAGAAAGGACTAAGCATGAACTACAAGAAGACAGAATGCATGGTCATCAGTAAGAGAAAGAGCCCGAAATGCGGTTTGAAGGTCGGGAACACTAGAATCAAGCAGACGCGGAAGTTTAAATATCTGGCAAGCGTTTTGACAGAGGACGGTAAGTGCGACACTGAGATCCGTAGACGTATTGGGATGGCCAAGGACACATTCCAAAAGCTGAGTAGAGTATTGCGAGACAGGAGGATTTCTTTGGTAACAAAGAAAAGAATACTGAGCTGTTACATTACATCTGTCCTTTACGGCAGCGAATGTTGGATGATTTCCTCAAAGATGAAGAAGTGTCTGGAGGCAGCAGAGATATGGTTCTACAGAAGGATATCATGGGCCGAGCGTGTGAGCAACGATAAGGTCTTGGAGAGGATGCAAACAAGGAGGAGGCTTATACTTAACATCAGAAAGAAGTTGAAGTTGAAGTTTCTGGGAAACATAATGAGGAAGGAGGGCCTGGAGAATCTGATACTCACGGCTCGAATAGAGGGAAAGAGAGACAAGGGAAAACAACGCATGACATATCTGGCGGGCTTAAGCTAATGGATGACAGAACGTGGTCTGGGAGAAGTGGCAGTGGGAGAGGACTTGTTGAGAGCGGCAAGCGATAGAGGAAGAGGTGGAGAGCCACGATCGCCTACATCCTGAAAAGACATGGCAAATCAAAAGAAAGATATCGAATTCTCTAAAACATGGTATCCTCGGGATCCCTCTATAGAAACATTTCTGTTGCTTCAAGTCTCTTCTTTATTCTTCTTTGAGGAGATTGGCCAGCATTTACCGCCATATAGGAGGACAGATATCACGTAACAGTTCAGTACTCTTTATTTATTTGCCATGCAATTAATATATAATAATATAGTAAAATTGTAATATGCACTTAGATTATGCTAACATTTTAGGAATGAAATACACACACAGATGACATGAGATAAAAACGTGACGGTTACACAACATACACCCTTGTGCAAATTAATTGAAACAACCCGGTTAGTTTCCCTTCTTTCACCATACGGTCAGTTTTACACCCACTAGAGTGACAGGGTGTAATTGATTTCTATTTTTTCCTCAGATTAGGCTATTTGCAGTAGTGTGCAGTAATATGAATCTATTTTCGGTGTCTACGATGTAATTTGTTTGGCATTGAAAAATATTGCGTCATCCATGACTGCATCAGTCTTTTATCCCGCCCAGAAACTATTGTCTCGACTGTCGATTAGTTGTCCTACGGCCATTGTGTGCGCTGGACGTTACTCCAAGGAAGTGTACGAAAATTGTAACACGAACACATTGGCAAACTCTCCTGGTTTAAATCCAATCGAGAATCTGTGGTCAAGGAACGACGTCGTGGAATGGACACAGGAAGTTCTAACACGTGCACTGGCTTATGTTTCATTGGAAAATACGAAATAGGAGTAAATAATAACGGAATTATTTGTTTTGTGTCAATTGATTTGCACAAGGCTGTAAGTGATTGTTGTATCTTTTAAGGGGTTACAAACAGACAAATGTGGTACCCGAGTGAAGGAACAGCAAAACGCGGGTGGATGAAAGAAGAGAGGTTTATTGTAAAAGAGATTACACTACTGAAAAACAGGGGATTGGGTGGCAATTTAGTAATTCCCTAAACAAACCTCCACGTATACCCTGTGCTCACCATATATAGCTACTGATATAGTCAGTTCACATAGGCGATAGGGAGTGTGGGACATTCCATTACAACAGTGATACATGATTCTATACCGCTAGTCCACGAGGTATGATAAAGGATGGTCCTCGCTAAGACGTACAGGCTTCATTCGTTCCAAGCCATTTTAACCATTCATCTGAAAAAGCGGTTGTATGCATACAATATAGATATTTCTGAACGAGTTTCACACCATACATGACATCCATATGAAAGTTTCGCTGTGACATGTCCATTTAAGAATAGGGTCCGAGTTTTTAGGATAATGATTTGGTTTTGTAGCAATATGCGGTGCAATTTTGTATTTCCTATACTAAATTTCTTATAACTGATTCATATTTCAGAGGTATTTGAAGTGTTTAGTATTTACTTATTTTATTTACCAGCTTGAATATTCGGTCTTTGTTTAACCGGAAGTCCTACGTGGCTGAATCGATTAAGCCCTTCAGATCTAATAACGGTTGCCTATAGGGGATGCAGGTTCGAATCCTGCAGGAGCACACATATATTCTGACAAAATTTCTCGAATATTCGAGCCGGTAGATGTAATTAAATAAAAATACTGTTTAATTAAATAAACACAACATTTACACAAATATGAGTAGCCATCTAAAATAACCTTTAAGCAACAACAAATTCAAATATGTTGGATTTAATCGATTTCATAAAATAAAAATGTCTTTGTTTACGTCAGGATAATGAATTGAGCGGATATGGATGTTTCGAGAATCGGCAGAGAATGTGAGTTTAAAAGCTCGGGCTTTGTTTCACCGGAAGTCCTACGTGGTCGAATCGGTTAAGCATTAATCCAGAGAGGATGCAGGTTCAAATCCTGCCGGAGAACGCATATTTTCTGACATGATTTCTCGAATATTCAGGCCGGTAAATGTAATTAAATATAAATAGCTTAATTAAATAAACGGAACATTTACTCGAGTATGAGTATCCATCTAAAATAACGTTTAATCAAAACAAATTAATATAATATATATATATATATATATATATATATATAAAAGGTGTTCCAATAACTTGGACCGAGATATGTTCAAGAAATTTCTTAAAAATAATGCATTCTCCAACAGGAATCGAACACGTATTCACACACAAACTGGTGTTATTGGTGGAAATATATTTATTTATTTATTGGATCAGGTTATTTAAATCATGGCAATTATGTGTGAAAAATAATATCACCCAAATGTCCACCAATGATGTCCACCATCTGAATGAAAAAGAAAAAAAATCATTAGACGCTTAAACTTAATTCACATTTAAAATCAGTCCAATCTATTGAAACACCCTATATATATATATATATATATATATATATATATATATATATATATATATATATATATATATATATATATATATATATATATATGTATGTGTGTGTGTGTGTGATTAATACACATAAAATTTGTCACTTTGTTGATACATGTTATATTCAGCACATCCACTTTGTATTGAACCTTTTGTAATCGTTCTATCCATTCATCAGGCGGTGTGTTTTTGCGCACGCGCGTGTCTGTGCGTGTGTGTGTAGCATCCAGAATGTAATGGGTGGTAATTTCTCTTCTCTTGTTAATGTCCAATCATTTTCTGAATTACAGCAAATCTCATATTTCCTACTCTACATTTTTTTTGGCTTTATTGTTTGATTTTTCGTATCGGGGGTACTATCCAACTGTTCGGGTGTAATTTCTGCAGCCCTAACAATTCGTTTATCTTAAGTAGTCAAGCGCTTCCTGTGTGTCTCGCTAAACGTTTCGCATGTCTCTTGAAATCACTCCGCCAGAAAATAGAGAAACACATTTTCTTCTTTTTCCTTTCATTCTTTGTCTGAGCTAGCAAATTTCGAGCATTTTTGACAGCATTCCGTCCACTGCCCTACCGCCTCCTGGCGCCTACGCTTAAACCTATGCACAAACTGATGCTATCAAAATCTAAAAGGAGGAAATACTATCGGGATTTTGTAACCTTTTTCGTCTGGGAAGGCAAACTTGTGAATATCTACTAAAAATCGTATCTAGACAATGTCCCTTTCGTGATAAGCAAGACAGACACTAATCCCCAAACAATGGTCAGTATTCTTGCATTCAGTCCTTCTATATCACTTTTAAGATACTTCGCATTCATGTATATATTTCCCTAGAAAGACAGACACTTGTTTTAATTCATAGAGCATAAAACGTCCGTACAATCATGGATAATATTCAGCCTGGCAAGAGACGTATAGCAACACATTTATACCTACACAAGTGCGCATGAATACACAATTAACAGTCACATGCACAATGATATCTTTTAGAAGGCTTTTTGTTTAAAGTATTTAAGAAGTGCCACATAATCACAGGATTACGAACGGGTAGAGAGGATCTCCAGACAAGGTTATGTCCAAGAGTAGAGTTTCGTCCCGGGAAAAGCTACCCCGCCTTGTTTTATATGGGATCTACAGGGAATTTTTGGCCGGACTACGGGTTCGGATACCCCACATTAAATTCAGCCTTGTCCCATATCTAACCGCGTGGGGCGGTTGGTAGATATCCTGCAGTTGGAGATTCATTGTGGAATTCACTTAACTCACTTCGAGCAATTGACTACATCTTCGCGCCGCTGGCGAATCTTATATGTGTTGTTCTTGTCCTAAGTATTATCGTTCATTACCAACCTTCGTGCGATTATTCTATTCAGTAACCTTTCCTAGGTTACAACATGCACTTTGAAAGGTATTCGTCCTGACCTGTCATCTCGCCTTCAGTCATTTTCCTACCGCCGTAATGTAGCTTCTCTGTGCTTTTTCTATAAATATTTTCATGGTAATTGTTCTGATGAAATTTCCTCTATGTCACCTAGTCTATGAATTTAAGCGCAGTACCAGATTGGGTAAGGTTTCATCAATTTACAGTTAAAGAGGCTAGATATAACCGTAATTTCTATGCTAACAGTTTCTCTTCTCGCACTTCTCACGTGTGGAACTTTCTTCCTGCTCCAATGCTTGCCAGCCAACTTTGATCTTCAAAAATTTAAATGCAATGTCAATCGTTATCAACTATCTTTTTGATTACTCTTCTCGTTCCTTAATAATTTTTGATTTGTTTTTCTTATTCTTTCAAACTCAATAACCCCTTGTGTTTTAGTGGCTTTAACACTAGGCTGGCCAGCTCTTTTGACATCTTTATTTACATTACGCCATGAAGCAGCCATCTCTAATATATTCAATATTCAAGTCAGGAATAACAAGTCTGAAAAGAAATTCACAAATATTAGTATACCTCATACTGAAAGAAAGTGATTATATATATATATATATATATATATATATATATATAGATAGATAGATAGATAGATAGATAGATAGATATATATATACACACACACACACACACATATATATATATATATATATGTATATATATGTATGTATGTATATATATAAATTATGTGTGTGTGTGTATAGATAGATAGATAGATAGATAGATAGATAGGGGACATAAACACAAGTATTATTGCTTGTGAGAAATTTTTCAATGCATTTTTTACCCTATAAATAGCCTAGGTGTCAAAAACGACACCTCGGTCATTCAAGGTAAAACCTCAAATATCAGCTATTCCACTGAATATTTTTTAAAGAATTAATTCTGTTAAGCATCTTTGCTAAAATTCAATAATTGTGCATAAGCCTCAGCATCGAACCAAAACTTGTTATTCCATAGTAACTTGTTGAAAATTTGAAGGTGTCGAAAACGACATCTCAGCCATCCTAGTGTTAATGCAATGCATGGGGTGAAATGATTACAAAAATATTTTAAAAACAATCTTTATTTAAAAAAAAAACAAAAAAAACACAAAAACAGGACGAAGCTGTAAGCTATGGAGAGCCGTGATCTCCCACGTCCTGAAGGGACACGACATAAAGATGAAGCATAAGAAGTCAACTTCAAACTGGTGATTGGGTAGATGTTCACATTGGGAAAGATAATATTGAATTCAAGACCAAATTAAATAAACATCTTGATGACTCAGCCTTCCGATTGCCGAGGAAGATCTAAACACGTCGGGTTTTAGCTCGAAAGAAAAATCAATTTTAAAGTCATTAGATAGTTTTGATAGAATCCAAAACTCTACACGACCTTGTGGGGGATGAAACATTTCTACCCTACAACCCCTTACTCACAGAGGAAACGTTGAAAGTCTCTCGGTAATCTATCGCTATTTCCATGGAAATGTTCAGAGGTACATTCCACCAGTTGTAACCTTGACATTAGAACCAACCAGGTTACATAATTTGAAGCAAGCCACCCTCATTAGCTTCATAGTTTCAACTTCTTCCCACAAGTCACTACCATGCGGAGAAAAAGCATCTGAAAAAAATGCTTCCCCGATCAAGACAATCTTAACTTGTTCAAGTTTTGGCTTAACTGTTATATTTCACACATAGCTTCATAAACAACGCTTCTTCACTCTTACCGCTTACACAACAAATTTCTTCAGTAACCCTCTAACTTGAGTGGCTCTTAGGCTTTGCATGGAGTGAACATTCGTAAAAAAAATATTTTGTTGCCCTTGCATGCTAAAGTTTTCCACTGGCATGTAATTTTTAGGCCTGCAGCATGGAAAGCTGGTTCGCTGTGTCCTTTTAGACTCCTTTTTCTCACCATACGTTATCTTGCACATTTACAAGTCTACTATTGGTCAGTGCATTGAATATTGCTACCACATCCGGTCTGGTGCTTCTGCTATGTATCTAGTGATTCTTGATACAATTCAAAGAAGAATCTGCAATGTTATCGGTCTTGACCTGGCATCTCGGTTTCAGTCACAGACCCACCGCCGTAACCTATCTTCGATGTGGCTTTTCTATAAATACTTTGTTATTAATTGTTTTTATGAGCTTTTCTCCTTGGTACCGCGACTTCATGAATTTAAGAGCAGTACTAGATTGGCGGTTAGATCCCATAATTTCGAAATTGTCGCAGTTGTCAGATGTAACCATAAGTTCTATGCTAATAAGTTCTTCTATCGCACTTCTCCTTTGCGGAACTGCCTTCTGGCAACATGCTTTTCTGTAAACTACAATCTTCAAAAATTTAAATACAACGTCAATCGCCATCTCCTGATTCGTCGAAACCTGTTCTTTTATTGTATTCTCTTCTCAATAAAGTTTTTTCTCGTATTCTTTCACTCCCAGTAACCCCTTGCGTCCTAGTAGCTTTATCACCTTGCTTGGGGCTGAAATGATTAAAAAGACGTATAAAATCTTTAAAAAATATTTGAGCACATTTGTTTTTGTTACGGTTTTTTGGGTATATATGCGTATATAACTAGTGAGCGAGTCAGAATGACTTATTTCCCTTTATAGTCGACCAATGGAAGGTTGACCAATTAGAAGCCGCACAACACTGTATTCATCGTGTATAAAGGCGGCCATCTTGTTTCGTCTACCGGAAGGACCAAAGGCGACCAGGAGAAGGATGAACTATACTCTGCTGTGATATCCACTGCGAACCTTCACTACGTTTTCCTACTGTCTCCGAAATATTCACTGCCAACCTCTGGAGGCGATACTCGAGGATCGACCGTCATGAAAATGTCTAACAGTTTTATCTATCTATCTATCTATCTATCTATCTATCTATCTATCTATATATATATATATATATATATATATATATATATATCAGACTTGTCATTATTTATCTCTTAGTCTTTTCATCTATTTCTGTCTTTTCGCTATCTATCTATCTATCTATCTATCTATCTATCTATCTATCTATCTATCTATCAAGATGGACAAGAGAGAGACAGTACTTATCCTTAGTCTTTTCGTTATCTATTTCTGTCTTTTCGTTATCTATCTATCTATCTATCTATCTATCTATCTATCTATCTATCTATCTATCAAGATGGTCAAGAGAGAGACAGTACTTATTTATCCAGTGTTACTTAATTTTAGTACAAGCCTACAAGTATTTTTTAATCAATTCAATCCCAAGGAAGTAAGACTCTAGGAGCTATTGGGTATGAAAGAGAAAAGAAAGATTTTAGAAGGAATAGGAAACGTAATATTAAATAGGGAACAAGGGATATACTTCTACTTCTGTTCAAAAGACCAGCGAGGAATGTGAAACTATTTACGCCTATTAAAATGTAGTACTTTATAGGGATTGAACTTAGTAGTATTTTGCTCATATTTTGAACGTGAACATCCATTAAGACACAATACACTGAGAAAGAAATCAAAGCTTATAACTTATATATAAATATACAATCATGAGAGATATTGTTAGTAGAAAATATCACAAACTAAGTTGTCCATGTTGCAACGTAGGTTATCACACACCGTGAATAATAAATAAACAAAGCCGGCAAAAAAGTAAGAAAAAATCTCTAACTTGAACGTAACAATGTTTCACCAGAGATATCTATATAGATCCTGTATTACTCAAGCCATGTTAGATTAGGAAAAGTTCATTCATCTAATTTGTCTGCCCTTCGGGAACTGAGTGTCTGGCTTAAATTTCCTGCTCGTGTTAGGTTTCCATGTAGCATTTTATATATAAGGTCTATTAATTATTTCCGTATTCTTATATCAATAAGTCAAGGAATAATTAGACAATCAATGCAACGGCGCCGTATAAATTGACAGGTCTATCTTAAACCAGTTGCTCTTTTGGTAATAGCCTAACAATTGTAGTTTTATATCGTTATTTAGCAATAAAGCTTTCTTCAATTGCTGCAGTTAAGTTCGAAAAGACGACGCTGATTGAGAAGTAAGGGAAAATCTGTACGTCATAAGGTTAACTGTAGTAATAATAGAGGCGATAAGTGGACACGCGTCCCAACAAGAACGGGTTGGTGAATACAAAAGCGTGTTAATTGTAGGGCAATCAACAATAAACCAAGCGTTATAACGCGGAAAATAAAACGTGAGAGCAACGACGAAAAAAAAAACAACAAAAAAACAAAACAAGGAAAACAAGAACAATAATAATAATTGTATTCTCTCGTCTGTGTGGATCACCATCAGCGTTATTTTCCTGATCACCTCATCCCCTCTTCCTTTCATAGCTGCTCCCGTTTTCAGAGTTCCCAAGCCGATTAAGGAACAGGTGAGATGGAAGAGGTCTTCAAACAAGGCCGATCGGGAACTGCAAAGGGATAGAAAAAAAAATGCAGCGGTTTGGGACTGACGGAGGAACGAACGGGTGGGCCCCAATACCTTCATCCCTGCAGTCATTTTTTCCCCGGTCGTGGTAACAGAGATGACTCACGATAGGATCATATGGGCTAAAAAGAACGGGTAAGATAGGGGTGTTGAAAGGCGGCGCGCAGCAGCCAGTGGGCAAGAAAAGAAACTAGCGGTTGGTGGGTGGAAAAAGCTAAGTCGGGGAGAAGGAAAGAGGTGCACTACAAACGGGTGGGAGGAGAGATCAGATATAAAAAAACGCATAGGGTAGGTGGTCGCTTGAAGAACGTAGGGACGCGAAAATCATTTCGAACAAAGAGAGAAACAATAGGCAGAAGGAGAGCCGAAACCAGAAAGAGATTGTTTACAAGCGGTTTCGAAGAGAAAATGGAATAAAAGGATACATAAGTACGCATAAATACAAACACACACGCACCCGCGCGCGCGCGCGCACACACACACACACACACACACACACACGAGCGCGCGCGTACATACGGACATACACACGCACAGAAGCATAAACAAACATGGAGATGCATATAAAAATGCTTTTCTATCTACATCTTTGATATGTATTACGCGTGCTCTGATATGTGTGCATATATAAGAGAACCACAAGAAATGTCTATATATTTTTCTTCTGTACCATCCTCGTATATATATATATATATATATATATATATATATATATATATATATATATATATATATATATATATATATATATATATATGTTAACAATATATATCTTTATCTATCAAGAATAGTATTGAAGAAATTGTAAGACAAAATGAAAAAGTGTTCTTTATCTCTCTCTCTCTCTCTCTCTCTATATATATATATATATATATATATATATATATATATATATATATATATGTTAACAATATATATCTTTATATATCAAGAATAGTATTGAAGAAATTGTAAGACAAAATGAAAAGTGTTCTTTATATCTCTTTCTCTCTCTCCATCCATATATATATATATATATATATATATATATATATATATATGTTAACAATATATATCTTTATATATCAAGAATAGTATTGAAGAAATTGTAAGACAAAATGAAAAAGTGTTCTTTATCTCTCTCTCTCTCTCTCTCTCTCTCTATATATATATATATATATATATATATATATGTTAACAATATATATCTTTATATATCAAGAATAGTATTGAAGAAATTGTAAGACAAAATGAAAAAAAGTGTTCTTTATCTCTCTCTCTCTCTCTCTCTCTCTATATATATATATATATATATATATATATATATATATATATATATATATATGTTAACAATATATATCTTTATATATCAAGAATAGTATTGAAGAAATTGTAAGACAAAATGAAAAAGTGTTCTTTATCTCTCTCCCTCTCTCTCTCTCTCTCTATATATATATATATATATATATATATATATATATGTTGTTTGTATTTAGGCAGCAAATTCTCTTTTAGACATGTTTAAATTTAATTACAAACGTTATGTCTGCTTATTTTTAGTATAATCCGTTCATATTCACGGACATTTTTAGGTGTATTACAGTGAAATGATGAAAGAAGTGTACTGTAACAGTGAAAATCACATTTATTTTCCAAATACTTTCCATCTCTCTTTTTTTTTCACCCCTGATGATGATCTCAGAAAAATATGGAAAGTACATTATGTCTATCGGAGTGCCCACACGAGAAAATAGAGCATTATCATTACAAATGTTGCTTGCCTTAAAAATTTAACCTCCCAGTAATTGTTTTGCATTTCATCTTTATAAAATAATTCTTGTTGCTTCTTCGTAGAGACTTCCTATCGTGGATTGCATCATTTTTTTTGCGGTATAAGTAATATGTGAATTTTTACAGGGTCGTGTTTCTACTTCAACACTTTACTGACTTTACAGAGCTAAAATGTTCCTACTTCTACTAATGTTTACCCTTAGCTGGTGGGGGTGAGCAGAAGTGAATAAATGCCTTTCTTAAAGGTAACTCGAACACGTATTGGACAAGCAAAGGAAGTATTCCAAAAGCTAAACATGGTGCTGAGAAATGGAAAAAAATCATTAGAAACAAAGAAAAGAGTGCTGGGTTGCTAGTTGACATCCAAACTCTTATACTGCAATGAATATTGGGCAATTACTCTGAGGACGAGGAACAAACTAGAATCAGCAGAAATATGTTTCTACAGACAGAATACTGAAAATTCCATGGTCGGAGTCAGGAAGCAACAAGGAGATCTTAAGGAAAATGTCAACAGACAGAATGGTCATTAGCAAGAGAAAAAAAGAGAGTCGTGTTACGTATTGGAGATATAAACATCAAGAAGGTGCAGGAGTTTAAATATTTGGAAATCATTTTAACAGGGGATGGAAATAGTAACACCAAGATCTGAACACGCATTAGACTAGCGAAAGAAGCATTCCAAAAGCTAAGCAAGGTACTGAGTAACGGAAAAATTTCGTTAGATATAAAGGACTGCTGGATTGCTATGTAGTATCCATTCTCTTATATGACAGTGAATGTTGGACAATTTCCCTAAGGATGAGGAAAAAACTAGAAGGAGCAAAAAAGTAGTTCTATAGAAGGACACGAAAGAACACTTATAATCATAATTAAGAAAAAAACGGCAAAAATTTCTTGGACGCATAACAAAGGAGGTGGGCTTGGAAAGCCTAACCCTCACGGGTCATATTGAGGGCAAGTGAGATAGGAGGAGACAGCGAGCAACTCAGCTGACGAGGGTGTGAATGGATTGTAGAACGGGTAGCGGAAGCATTAGCAAATGGAGAAAAACTGCTAACTACACGCGATAGAAAGTTGTGGAGAGCCATGATCGCCTATGTCCTGAAGGGACGCGGTACATAGAAGAAGAAGAAGAAGAAGAAGAAGAAATAATAGTATGAAGTGAATGCAAACTGTCTCACCAGTGTTTGAAATCCGTTCATCAATTTCATTCTCTTCACTGTTAACTGTTAAACGAATATATAGTAACTGTGTACACTGTACACAGTTACTATATAGGATTTTGAAGGAATTGTCATCCTAAACAGTTCAAAGGTGGAAAACAACAAAATCAAAATAACTGCTCTCCACTCCTTTTTAGCTCTTAGCAGTGTTTATCATTTACTATTCCTCCTAGACTCTGTTCTGCCATCCATTTACTGAAACTCTTTTTGCAAAATTATTAGATGTTTTCCTCTTGCTTTTAATAGGTCATGTGAGTGTCAAATTTATCAAGCCTTCTTTCCTTATGGTATGTTTTTTTTATGGTGTGTCAATTTCAACTGTCTTTAAGTACAAGGGTCTATATAGTTTCCTTTTTTCTTGAGTGTTACTCTTATATTCCGTCCACGGTATTAGTATCTTTCCGGAGAATCACATCTCTTTATCTGTGAGGAAATTCTCCATCATTCACCGCCTCATAGAAGGATTGATATTACATAACAGTTCAGTAGTGTTTTCTTTGTTTCTAACGAAATTGTCTAGTTTCTTGATAATTTGTTTAGCTTTTGAAAAGCTTTCACTGTTCCAATAAGCCTTCGAATTTCTTCGCCTCATCGTTTGTCGTCTATCAAGACATTTTCCAGATTCTGAAACCGAAATGACATTTATTTCATGATAAATTATTATCAATATTATATAATTTGGCACTTGAACCTGATTGTAAGTATAAGGAGTAAGATAAACATCTTACTCCTTATACTTACAAAG